GACCCAACCCCAAGCCCAGCCTAGCCGACGCACGCATGTGTGGTGTGGAGCATAACCTTTATTTTCTTCTAGGCATAAGAGAGAAAGGGAATGCTTATAAACAACCTATCTTCTCATCTCCTTTCCAATGTGGGACTAAACTTTTCCTCTACAAACTCAAGTTTTAAGTTACAACTCCAACACCATATATATACCCACATGTTGAAATTTCTCAAACATTGAATAGTTAAACCTAGCATGTTATATAGTACTACAAAAGTAATAAAGTGAATGTAACCCAAGCTTTCATTTTATTGTTCATGGTCACTTTTGATCAGCTGTTTGAATTTTAGAAGAGAGCTTGTGATTAATTAGAAGAGTAGGAAAGCAAACAGTTTTCAAGGAGTGAGTAAATTAACATTCATAAGAAATTCCATCTTGCACACACGTGCACACGCATTGATATAATTTAAATCCTAATTAATATTATTTACAAATTTTCACAGCCAAACTCTATAAAATTTCACAACCACTACTCACAAGCACAAACAAACAAATTAATCTCCTCTATAATATTTTTCAATTAATGCACCCCCTACATCTGCTGCTAGAAGTTATCCTTCAAATATCGTATCTTCAACGTTTTTTATCCCTTTAGCTCCCATGCCATGGTCATAATCTAGCCCCACTTCCAATAGGAATCCATAGTCATCATCTTTAGAGCCCATCCCCAACTCCATCTCCACGCCCATCAAGGATGCATTATCCATCTCATGTGGGAAATCAAAGAAATTACAATGAAATGCATCCAAATTGAGTAATGTATTGCCCTCTTGATGTGGAACATTAGTCGAGTATGATGATGACCCCATCATCTCGAAGTATCCCTCTGGCATTGACTGGTCAACCAGTGGAGGAGAGGACTCCAAGTTCTCTATACTTGAACGAGTTGCTATATCTACCTTTCTTTTATGGAAAACCCTACATAGAACCCAGTCCTCCTGTCAACCAAAAAGTAAAAAAGCTACAATTAGAATCGACATATTTTCAAAAAGTTTGGGAAAACATACATACCTACATACATGTGTTGATCATTAGGTAAGATTGAGTGCAAAATTGTTAACAAGCAATAGCATGTATTCATCAACTGCACTGTGGTCCGTGAAAGATTGATAGATACATGAGCCAGAAACAAAGGAGACTAGAAAGTGACTGGGTTATGTGACTTGTATTTCCTTGGACACATATATGTTGTATAAGTTTGATGAATGCACATAATGGCTACTGGAAGTTGGATATGTATACATCAAAACCCATGCCAAGTCATTTTCATTACGAAAAGCTACAAATACGCAATGTATAAAATATCATTGAAATTATAAATTCATATTCATAGATCCTTTGTTTATATTACCGTACTAATTAATTACCTATATCTTAATAGGTTTTGATTGTATGATTTATCATATTATATTACTTCACTTTTACACAAAAGGTGACTGATGATTAATGTTGATTAGATATGATAACTGAAGCCTCTAATTTTGTATCAAGCAACAAACTTGGTGCTTGGTGTTTGGTAGTCACTTCTCATCCACCCATTTAATGGGTGAGTTAATAAATTGGGGCTTCGAGTGATGTCTGAAATGGAGTAATGAATTGGCTACAATTCAACTGAAAAAGTTATGATTGGAATCTCTTAATGAACTGGTATGGAGCCAATCAGCGGAGGAAAGTTTTCAAGCTCAATGTTAAAAGGATGGCTCTCATCTCCTCTATCTACGATATATTGTTGGAACATAATGGAAGAATTTTCAAGTAGAGATCCAAAACTATTGAGCAACTCATAAAATTCATCAAATTGGATTTACTGACAGTAGTTCTTAATAGTAGGTTACCTGTGGAGAACAAAAACTAGATGCTCTCTTTATAGCTGCTACAGTCAGATATTGCAGCTGAAAACTAGACTGAAATTCAAGCACAAAAATATACTCCTTGTATTCTTATGTAGATAACTCAATCCATGAATTTTCTTTTGATGTACAAGCACTATATAATAATATAGTATATATATATATTATAATATATATATATATATATATATATATATATTATATATAATATATATATAGAGAGAGAGAAGAGTAAGGAGAGAGCAAAACTTGTATCAACTTAAATGGATAGCAAAAAGGTTATCCGCCAAACTTTTTAGCGACTGCATATTGTCTAGGGATCCTTGCATGGATGAAAAAAAAATTATATTAATAAACGATGTGCTACGAAGTTTGGTTGACATCAACTTAAGTTGATAGGAGTCTACTCTCCTCTCTCTCTCTCTCTCTCTCCTATATATATATATATATATATATATATATATATGAGAGAGAGAGAAGAGAAAATTTGAGGACTGTTGATAAGACAGAATAATTTTTAGAAATTTCTTTGTTTCATACAATTAAGACGTACGGATTTTTCAATCTAGGATGGGTTGCCCAGGTTTCTAGTAGTGAATACAGACTCATCCAAGTTTAATTGTAAATAACAATACCTTAGGTGGTGTGTTTGGATTCTCTAGCCTGAACTCATGCATGACCCACCCAGTCTTTGCACCATTAGGAGCTCTTCCACTGTAAAAAACTAGTGTCTTCCTCATCCCTACGATCCCTCTTGTCTTCGGATGATATACTGTACGATCTTTTCCTGTCGCCTTCCAATAACCAGACTTTGTTGCCCTATTCGTGCGAGAGCCAGTTGCATACTTGCGATCACGAAAGCTGAAGAAATACCACTCATTATCGCTGAGCTTGGCACCGTCTGAGAGAGCACATAAAACCAATATTTAGATTTGAATGTAAGCTTATAATGTATACTGTTGACAAGTACGTGTGGTCGAGATCTTCATAAGAAGAGAGATTAATTAATATGAGCTATATTATTCATGTGACATATAATATAATGATTGGCTAATTTACGAGATACATAAGGACAAGTCAATTGGCTTGTAGTGATGTGGGAATCTTATATGTACTCTTGATAGCACTGATTTTAAAGGTTAAGTTAATGAGAAAGAAACACGCATAAGTTATGGACTCCCAATAATTGGACCAGGTTTGCTCTTTATGGCCATTGCTGCAGTTTATTCACTGTTTCTAGCTTACTTGTAGACGGTGGCTTCCTGCAAATTTGTTAAGTCTTGACCACTAGCTTGGTTATATTCACAACAATAATGTTGGACATTAACTATTTATTCCTAAAGTGACATACTGTAGAAGATATGGTTAAGAGAGAACAACATAGACAACAATGATGAAATTAAACTTACATACTAAAACTCTTACAATCGTTCTCAAATTTGAAACAAAATTATACATTAGATAAACAAAGAAGAAAGGATATTAAAATAAATGACTGCTATACAATTCTACAGCTCTTAATTAGGAGAACTCTTCTTCCGATTAGGATCCACAAAGATACAGTTCTCTATATTCCTCCGTGAAGTGAACGGAGTCTACAAAGTTTTCTGCCATTTCCTTACATAATAAGCTTTCTTTAGAATTCAAGTATAATATACCACCATAGCAACTAGACATCAAAGTTTGTCTATACTTAAGAAATAAATGTACTTCTCTAAGATAAAAAGACATTAATAATGATTTACCTGGCAACTCCCAAGGCTCACGAGTATGCAAATCAACCTCAACCATTGTTCCTTCATAAATCTTAACATTAGCCACCTTCTTATAAAGATAATGGCAAACCAACTCCTCATCACTTGGATAGAACCTAAACCCTGGAGGAAGAGAAGTCTCTAAATCTCTTAAACCCATAACAGATATAAAGAGAGAGAGAGAGAGAGAGAGAGAGAGAGAGAGAGAGAGAGAGAGAGAGAGAGAGAGAGAAGTTTGCAACAATAAATAAGGGTTTGCTTGCTTATATAGATAATGAGAGAGGAAATCTTATGAGAAGATATATCACATGTATATAGAGAGGAGGCTATAATTGATTGAGGTATGTAGCTAGCTTGGCTATTAATGTTAGCTATTGTTAGCTAGCTAGAAGTTTGAAAGCAGCCCTTGCTATTTTAATTCAAAGGAAAAAACTTCATCCGGGAAGAGAGAATGCGTGCTCTCCGGTCGCAATCACCGGGAAGGGGCTAGGGTCCTCATGCTTGTGAAACAAGATCAATTATCAAAACCCATGGTTACAAGTAATCTCTTCTCATTCTCAATAGTAAAATATCGTGTTTTGATTGTACGCTCGTCTAGCTCAAGGACCCTTTCATTGCGTCAAATCTTCGGAGGTATGATGAAGATTGAGGGTTATAATTTTGTATTTTATTATCCTTATACAAGTTGTGCACTCTCATTATGGCACTCACAATTAAATCCATTAAGTTTGTTCTGGGTAAGAAGTGAATTAGGTCAGAAGTAAATTAGGTTGCTTCATTAAGATGTTCAAGACTCCAGAATTATGATGAGGTTTGAGGGTCATGTATAAGTTCATACTCTAACACATGCATTTTAATTCTAATATGAAAATCTCACAACGATATAGGAGCTTATACTAATTTGTTTAGTCTTCTAATTTTTTTTTTCATTTTCTCTAGTTAATAAATTTTCTATGAATAAAAAGTTAAATATAAAAATATGAAACGGTTCAAGATAGTTAAGGTTGTTGTATAAAGAGAATGATGATGATCTTGGCAAGTGGGGGCTTAAGAACATAAAATATTCACAACCCGGAATTGAAAATAGCATCGTTGAATAAAATTATGCAGTGAAACGCGTGGGCTCTTGTACTCATATTGAGTTGATGATTATAGTAAAGACAAAGGATAAATTATTGGATATTGCTGAAATCGTAGTAAAATCAGATAAATAACAGGTGAACCCCTTCCTCTTTTTATTGATTTCAGCTTTTGAGAGGAGATTTAGATAAGATTCAAGGACATTCAGTTTTCCAGCATGTTAAGAATAAGGTTTAACACACAATTATCAAGAAATTAATGAAGAGGCCATGAACTCTGCTGGCTAATTAACATGTGCGTGAATACCTACATTAATAACGTAGAGAATATGTTCATAATTAATTACATGATGGAGACGGACGGATTAAACAGTGAATAGTACTGGAGAGTATGTTGTGAAATGTCAATTTAGTCTCCAAGTCTATGGACAGAAAATGGTCGAGTCACCACTCGCGCGAGGGTATTTTGGTCACTCTGGTAATCCCCCGCCGGGGGAATCCCCGCTATAGCGTCATCGGCCACCTCAACCGGTAGGCAATCTCAATCACGGCAGAGCAGAAGAGACTAAATTGCCCATCCAAGATGGCAGGACAAGAGATGACCACGTAGTTTCGGAGGGCAATATGGGAAAGCTTTGGCCGGGCCAGCTCGGCGTCTTTGTCGTTGCAATAGTATTGGACAAGTCGGCGCTGAGTCCAACGCACATCTTGATGTGGGTCATGCGTACAAGGGGTCATACGAGTACTAGGGCTGAGCATGGTCCAGTTAAAACCGAAAAAACCGATCGAACCGATACGAACCAATCAGAAAAAATCGGTTTTATGAGTAGGACGGTTCGGGTCGGTTTGAAAACTTTTCAACCCGAACCGACCCAAAACGACCGAATATAGTGCAATACTACTCATTCTGATCTCAAACTCTACTCGACATGTCTCCAAAGAGTCAAAGACTCAAACCCTAAACTCATTTTCTGAATCATTATGGGTTGAAAACAATATCATTAATATATTAATGTTTAATGCTTCATAATCCTCTACTTTGTTGATAACTTTTTTTTCTTTAACACTGTTTGTTGTTTGATAAGAAGTTTGATGAAGTTAGAACCGAACAAACCGAACCTAACCGCACCGAACTGACTTGCAATAGTTTGGTTCGGTTTTTAATTATAGACGGTTCGGTTCGGTTGTTTAAATTTTGGTAAAAAATGAACCGAACCGACCGTTGCACACCCCTAATAAGTACTGCATTCCAAGCGATGGAGAATGGCAAGCTGTTGAAATTATTGCCAGTAATATAATAAATTATTTGCTTCTTTTGAGCCTCTGGATCACAATTTTAACATTTCTCGAAAAATTCAAAACTTGTTGAAGCTTCAGCAATTACGATGCAAAGATATAACATATTTGGAGAGAAAGTAATCGGTGTGCAGGTGGGTCGACTCATCGGAGTATCAAATTTTCTCTTCCCCTCTTCCCCTCTTTCCGAATTGAAAAAAGTGCTTAAAGATGATACTAAGAGAATTTCTCTTCCCGGATAAGTTCCTCTAACTTGGTTCTTTTCCCCTTTTTTCCCTTTATATATATATATATATATATATATATATATATATATATATATGGGTAATGTTTTCCTAAGGTGACACCTTAGATTCTCACCTAAGGACGCGGCCTAAAATCACATCATTCCCTAATTTTTTTTACGATCCGCTCTGTTGAACTTGATCTACACGTTCTTAAACCCCAAACACATTAATTTTGGTGTGAACCCGTCGTGTTTTGACCTTTCATCCACATACCGTAATTTTAACGGTTTTGAATGAATAGGACTTTTTGCACGGCTCAATGAAGGGTCAAAACACGATGGGTTCACATCAAAATTGATGTGTTTGGGTTTAAGAACGTGTAGATCAAGTTCAATGGAGTGGATCGTAAAAAAAAGGGAATGATGTGATTTTAGGCCGCGTCCTTAGGTGGGAATCTAAGGTGCCCTTCACAAACTCTAATGTAGATGTAGGGATAAGATTATGCCACATCACTACCAAGTTGCTTGGAGCAACTTGGTACCAATTTTCTTCATTTCTCTCATATAAGAAATATGGGTATGCTTGGTACCAAGCAAAAATTTTGTGCTTGGTAGTGAGGTGGCACAATCCCCTCCACTCATTCAAACAAGAGACCACATTCACATGGGTTGAGGAGTGCATGGAGATATGCAATCATTTGAATAAGTGGAGGGGATTATACTGTTGTGTGTAGCGAAAATTTCGACAGAGTTTCTGATACACAATAAGAGAGAAATATCAATAAGAATTCTCATATCACCAAGAAAATAAGAATCAGAAGCGAATATCTCAACAAAGTAAGATATCAACTCTTCCTCTCATCAGTTCTAGGACTAACTTATCGAGGGATCCTAAAACTATTACAATGGCCACAAACACAAACAAACTAATTTTATATGGTTCGGTAAATTGTCTACGTCTACGGGGCAAGGAGGGGGGAGATCTACTATTAGAGGGAGAGATACAACTAGGGTTTATAATCACTCAATCTAAACCCCCAAACAATCTCTCAAACCTCTCACAAAAGGGGATGCCAAAAACTCTCTCAAAAGAGCACAAAAGACTGCACAAAAAACTCCTCTCTAAGTCTGCACTTGCACCAGTCGTTCACCCCCTGTTTTTGCTTGCACGCTGCCCAAGCCAAAAAAATCTCCGCAGCCAACCCTCACTTCGCTCCACTAAACCCTAGGAATCACTAGGGTATTTATATGATGTACGTTCGTGGGCCGCACCCACGAACACGAACAAACCCGACCAAACTTTGCAACGCGTTACACAGCTAAAGCACGTGGGTGGGCACCGTCGAATTGCTCCTGCGTCCGCGTCCGCGTGCGTGCACGCGTTGCTCGCATAGGACCTGCTCACATGGGACTGTCGCGTTCACAATTCTCCACCTCGGTGAAGTTTTCTCAAAACTGAGCCGACACCAACCAAATCAAATGTCTCACTTGTTGCATCCAGTACGAAGTGAAACAATTCATGATAATGGACTCAATCCATAACAAGTCGAGATCCCAAATGAGAATGCAAACACTCTCCAAATATCGGTATCAACTCACCAAATCGATCTCACCCCCATCAAAATCCAAACCGGCTGCATCATAAAGACTGCCTATGTATCCTCTTGTCCAAGGAATTAAGCCTTAACGTAGTTCACCCAAATGGCCGCGAACGACCTCAATCCAATAGAAGAGTTCGCAACCCTTCTCCAATATCATCAACTCTGCAGCTGATAGCACCTCTAATGGCCTCAAACACCTCCACCTGAGGCGAATCAATGGCCATATCCAAACCATGTCTGCCAGCTGCACTCGAATCAAAACCCAACTCATCATCTGCACCTAAATCCAAATGATCCCTAAGCTGTGTCACCTCAGCTGGAATCCCAAATAATATAGTATGATCTGGAGTTATCTTTACTCAATGTGGAGTAGCATCCATCTCCATCCGCTGCAATACATCTAAGGTCTATCCAAAACTCTTCACCTGCTGAGAGTAAATTAGCTCCCTCATTGAAGCCTCAACCAAAGTGACACTACTAGACCTATCTTCCAATAGAGTTTTACCTCCAATCATAGAAGTTAACAACTCTTTAATAAGATAACTCGAATATGTCGAAGCCTCGGTCCAGAAACTCTTCTGCAAACTATTGCTCGTCCACAAACACCGATCCTCCTCCAGCAAGACACGGTTCTCCAAATTTGCCACCCTATCTGGTTGCCCCAAGATTTCCTTTCCAACGAAGTGTCTTGAACTACCGTGAGCTCAGCTCCAATACAGAAATAGGTCTATCTTGTACCTCCTAATAAAATCAGAATGAAGTACCTTCACCTTTTTGTCCATCTTACACTTCTTCAAACTATTAGAGACTACTAGGACTTTCTCCAATGGGGATTTGGTTGTAACCCAAACACGCCTAGAACAGTCACCAATAAAGGAAACCAAACGCCTATTACCTCCCAATGATGCCCCCTTGGAAGGCCCCTAAACATCCACATGAGCTACTCTAGAACGACCCTTAGCTCGGTGAATAGAGGTGTCAAAATTCACCTTGGTCTTCTTA